GTATGGAGCCACTGCAGTCCCTCATACCTAGTAGTAGGATGGTTGTTATTAAAATAAAACAAAACCCACAAACATTTACAAGTGTTAGCAAGGATGTGAATAAATTGGTACCCTCAAGCATTACAGTATAGTCACTTTTGAAAAGAGTTTGGTGGTTCTTCAAAAAGTCAATCACAGAATTACCAGAAATTCTACCCCTAGCTATATATCTAAATGATATATAAATAAATAAATAAAAACAAATAACCTCTTTTATCAGGGACCTGTCAACATGGGCCATATTCGCATCAAAACCATGAAGAACATAGCCTGGGTCATCATTGAGAAGAATTACATTTGCCTGGGCAACGACTGCCACACCAAGAAGCACATGTCAGAGGAAATCACCATTATTTCCAGTAAGAGGCTCCATAACGAAACAGTGGGTTATGTCACATATCTGATGAAGCAGATTCAAGGGGGCCCTGTGAGAGGTATCTCCACCAAGCTGCATGAGGAAGAGAGAGAAAGCAGAGATAATTATGTTCCTGAGGTCTCAGTCCTGGATCAGGAGATCTTTGTAGTAGACCTCGACCCTAAGAAATGCTGAATTATATATGGTGTTTTAAAAAATTTCTTTTCCTTCTAATTTACACCCCTCCCCCCACACGCTATGGTACCATGATGAGCAAGTGCAAGAACCATGTGGGAACCATGTCAGACTTCCCCTGGTTTCACAAGCGGGGAAGAGAGTCAAACTCAAAATCAGCACAAGGTTGAATCCTATGAAGTGGAGGTCAGATGATACTTCCACCCTACAACTTTCTTTATCCTATTCTGACATAAACCATTCCTCCCACATAACTCTCTGCTTCACATTTGGGTTCAATAATCCATTGCAAAAACCAAACAGAATTTAGAGCAATGCTCACGATTATGGGGTTTATTGAGGAAGTTGTTTCTGTTGTTGTTAAGTGCCATCGAGTCGGTTCCGACTCATAGCGACCCTATATAGATAGGGTTTCTGAGGAGTGGCTGGTGAGTTTGAATCAACAACCTTATGGTCGAATGCTTATTCTACAACACCACACCAGGACTCCATTAAGGATGGGAACAGGGTGCAAATGAGGATCAAAACCAACTCAGGACATAGCAGCTCTCCAGTCAGGAACGCCTCTTGTCTGCCATACTGCAGACATGACTCACTCTTGTCTTCAGCCTCTCACCCAAGTAGCCCCTTGGTCTCTGCCTCAGTCCATGGGTCTAGAGCCCACAGCTGCTCTCTCTCTATGCCACTGCCTCTGCCGCCTCTTCACAGTCCACTCATGCTTTCTTCTTGATAGTCCTGGGATCCTCTGTTCCTGCTTCTGAGATGGCTCCTTTAGACCTGGCTGTATGGCAAAAACTGGAGTCTTGGTGTTGCGCTGTGGGTTAATGCACCAGACTGCAAAGCCATTTGAACTGCAAGGTTAACGGTTCAAGCTCACCAGCTGCTTCTTGGAAACCCTATACAGGGTCGCTATGGGTTGGAATCAACTCGATGACACTTAACAACAACACTATTACAAAACTAACCAATCCCACTCTTAGAGTCCTATATACCTTATTTGTTTGGTCTCACCCCATCACTTGGCAAGAATTAAGATACTGGATAGAAAAGCCATATCAAGTAAATTCAAGGTTATTGACAGCCATGTATAGTACTCGTCAGATGTGTCTATGTGGGGGGAAATGTTTAGAACCGTTAGTTTGATGTTTTAACACAGGGCCTCAAAATGGCTCAGTTATGGATGATGAACTGAAATCAGAACAGACCTAAATTTTTAAAAGTGGGATATAACTGAAACAGAAAAAAATATGGATTGAAGTCCTGGATTAGGAGAGTCAGATGAGGTGTAATGAGAGCCCTTTCAAGAACTTAATGCAGGAGATTCGATTACCAGGACTGTGGGGAACAACAACATTGAAAATGGTGCAGTTGGCTTCCATCTTGAACCAGGTAGTGTTGCTTGTCACTGTCAGTCAAGAAATTTGGTTGCTATGCAATGTTCATTCTGCCTTTGTTTTCTAAGACAGAGAGTAACTTTCTAGCAGTGAGTCAACCTGTAATTTTTCCTGTTCCAGTTGTCACACTGGTTCACCCATATTTCACAAATTAGGGTCCATCTTGGTTTTGCTTCATCAGCCTTGTCTGAACTGTGAAGAAGTTGTTTGAAGCTCTGTTTTCAACTTCAGTGGTTGAGAAGCAAAGTTTAAGTTATTGCAAAAAGATGATTATTTCAAAGATTGGCGGTTCAAATTCACCAGCCATTCCTCAGACACCCTATATAGGATTGCACTGAGTTGGCATTGACTCAAAGGCACTTAACAACACCAACAACATGAAGAACTAGTTATACAGGTGTTGAAGATGTCAATTTGAGGACTAAAGTGGACCTGACTCAAGCCATGGTATTTTCAGTTGGTTCAAATGCATGCAAATGGACAATGAATAAGGAAGATCAAAGAATAGATGCCTTTGAAATATAGTTTTGGCAAAAAATATTGAATATGTAATGCACTGCCAGAAGAATGAAGGAATCTATCATGCCAAAAGTACAGCTGGAATGCTACTTAGAAGCAAAGATGGTGAGACTCTGTCTCACTTACTTTGATCACATTATTAGGAAGGACCAGTCCTTTAAGCAAGGCATTATGTTCAGCAGAAGTTCAGCAAAAAAGAGAAAACGCTTAGTGAGATGACTAATACAGTGGCTGCAACAATGCACTCCAACATAACAATGCTTCTGAAGACGGCACAGTACTGGGGAGTTTTTCCTTCTGTTGTACATAGGGACTCTAGGAGTTGGAAACAACTAGGCGATACCTAACAACACCAGTCTTGCCCTTTTGGGCCTAGCCTGACTCACCTGGTTTTGATCTAGATTTATTGTTACTTTAAAAATCAAATCCATGCTCAAAAAGTAAAACTTGAGCAATGAAATTCCAAGTCCATCTTTGCCACATTTGAGTTTGGAATAAATGACAAAATTGGTTAATAACGTGAGTAAGATTTTGGTCTTTGATGCCTTCCTAAGAAGAGAGGAGAATTACCTCCCCTCCTCACTAGGGTAATTGCAGTAGGGGTTATATGAAGAAAAAGCATGGCATCAGGATTGGAGGAAGACTCATTAACAACCTGTGATATGCAGATGATACAACCTTGTTTGCTGAAAGTGAAGAGGACTTAAAATACTTATTGATGAAGATCAAAGAGCACAGCCTTTGGTATGCATTGCATC